GCGGCCCGATTCGTAACCACTACGCTACCACATTTATTATTAGTGGGAATAAATGAGCTTTCCTTTTTGGTATTTTCTACAAATACACCTCAAGTATTTTAGTACTTAAGAGAAGAAAATTCATTTAGAAAATAATTCTCGAGTTAACATTCTACTTCTTTTGCTCTCACACTTTTCCTTAAAATCTTTTGATTAATTATGCTCTTTCTGCAGGACCGCCTGGGACTAAAGGAAATGGACAATGCAGGGAAGCTAGTTTTCCTGGCTACAGAAGGGGACCATCTTCAATTGTCTGAAGAATGGTTTGATACCTCCATCATCCCCTTCCTTAAATGAAACGCTTGCAGTTGTTAGCTTCAAATGGTGTGGGAGATGGCTCCCATCCTACCCAAGCATGACCTCAGATCCAGCTTGCAACTAATCCTTCTCTCCTGTCGTCTAACACGCCCTGCTCGGAAAGATCGAAGATCTGAATCTTATCCTTTGCCTCATCCTATCACCATATGGTGTTGAATGCAAGTTTAATTAGCTACTAACCTTGGGGATTGTTTTACAGCCCTTTTATGTGGTCAAGCTGAATCTTAGGAAGGGGAGTCTGCTGCAGTTCAGTGCCAGAACAGCACCCAAACGAGACGGAACCAAAGCAGTGAGATGGGTCCAAAGGACAGACACCTCTTCTAGGGGATTCAGATATAGCTGGTCATATTTCAAACGAAGAGAAAATGCCAGTACCCAGGCCTGAGTTATATAAATGCTGTTTTATGGGGGGATGGAAAGTAGTGCTTGGATAGTATTTTGCCTTCTGAGGTGTCTTAGAGATTACCAAATTGTCTGCCCCATCTGCCTTTGCAGTGCTTGATTTTTTGGTCTCAGATAGTGATGACATACAAGGAGGGAGTAACAGTTGGCTTGCTCAAGGGGGTGGGGCTGGAGTGGCAGTGATAAATGAGACCACTGTTTTTCTCATTCCATCTGGGACTAAACCTCTTTGTTTCTTTACATGACTGTAGTGGTCTAGATTCTAGCCACTGCTGCTGGCTTTATAGAGAATGGAGGGAAAGTGTGATGAGATGAGGTTTTCTAACTTCATCCCCCAAAATAATTTACCAGCACACTCCGAACTCTATTATGCTCTGTGAAAATAAAAAGATTGTTCAAAAAAGGCTGGGGAACGCTGTATAGCCTTTCTCCTCTTGGAGACCAACCCTTATTAGAATGTTACGGACTCTGAGAATCCCCATTAAAAATAAAATGACCATAATCTACCATGTCCCACATTATTTATGCCTATAAGTCTTAGTATTCCAGCACCCCTGGCTCCCCACAAACCTATCCACACTTTCTGGGAGACTGTTTTGCAGAATGTCAGCTGGGGTACAGTGATCTGTGCTTTGATGGTGTACCTTGTTAGAGCTGCCTTTCATTTTTCCGTTCCCTCTCTCAACCCTTAATCTTCAACTAAAAGAGGAGGATGTTAAGGACAAGAGGTATGTGTGAAGTGTTTAATTTTATGAGGTTGTCTAAAATAAAGACAGAGTAGTTTCTTATCCTTGTTGTCATTTTTTTTTTCTTTTCAACATTTCAGCAAACATCACAGGTAAATAACTAAGCAAGTTTGGTATTAACTTTATTCTAATTTCTGTATAACTTTAAGTACATAAAGGTTTATTTCCACAGGCCTCAGGAAATGGGTAGAAGTCACAGGACAAGCTCTTCCCACCAAAAAAGTTGCATATTTTTGGTGTGTGTGTGTCCTAGAGGGAAAACTGAAATTTACACTAACAATGCTGTGCAAGATTCTTATGTAAGTCAAGACCTAAATCCAGCCTGCAGTGGAAGTTTTAGTTCTCTGTTCTGGTGCCTGGACAGAAGCCCTAAGCTTTTGAGCATGACAGGAAAAGGAGGCAGTGAAGACAGAGGAGGGAGGAATGCTAGATTCCTTGGAATGGTTTTCCCTTTTTCAAAAAGTCAACTCTGTAGGAAGGTGCTACGCAGATGTCCCAGAGAAAGATTGTAAGACTCCTTTATTACCCAGGGTGCACGGCTACAGCAGCTGGTATAGGAGAACCCACTATTGCATGGTTTGGGCAGAGCCTGGATGGAATGCAGAATAAAAGGAATGCTTATGGGAAACAACTTTGCCTGGAATGCAAGATGGCTACGCTTCAGCCTTTGGTCCAGTGCAGGTCTTGCCTCACTTATCAATAATGAAAAATTAGTTTGGTTAGAAGAACCAGTTGGAAATGCATCAGCTTCTGCTACCCTCATATGAACTGTTAGAAAAAAGTTAGTTTATGTGAACATTCTGGTTGGTTAATTCCTAGGAACTGTTTTATTCTTTCCCCAAGACTTGGGAGAATAATTTGCAAAAGCTGAAAGCGAAAACCTACCAATTCTGGTCTGCAGTTCTTTTAAGAATGAACTGGTGGTGTGTTGAGCTGACATGGAAAAGCTGCACCTTCCTGCAGATAATCAACTGACCTGCTATCCCACCCCAAATCTCAGCCTGAGGTATATTTCAGTGAAGGCAGGTAGCTGTGCTTCTCAGAGCAGAGAAGCGGTTTAAGAGCAGAAAGGTAGAGGGAATCTAGAAAAGAACCGTCTTGATACAGATTTATCCTATGGTGTGAAGGGAGAGGGCAAAGAACCCAGTGGCACTTCGCTTATCCAGCAATTTCTGTCACTGTGGTGACTAACTTCTGCCCATTCCATAGGGTCTTGAACTGCTCAGGGACAGGGAACTC